TTTGACCCTCCTTTTCGCTACAGCGTCTAACTTTGGCTTCAACGACTTAGTGAGGACCTTCCAAATTGTACGCACTCCCCTTCCGTCACAGGTTGACACAAAAAACCATTTTGGCCGCCAACCATTCATCGACGAGTGTAGTCTCGCCACTAATCTCATTCCCACTATGGCTTGAAGGGTCACCCAAGTCTCTTGTTGCCTTGAAGCCTTGTAGTAGGAGAAAAATCCGTCTACTGTCATTTCCTCCCCTCCGGTCACCCGTGGCCACACGATTGCGCAAGCAAACAAAATCTTCCACGCGTTTGGCATTAGTTGTCCTGGGGCAACCTCTAGCGATTTAGCACGTCGACCACTAGCTGTGGGAGGGGTAGCCTTAGACCCCCCGGTAATGCTTCTTCGTACAAGGTGAATTCCATTGGTCGTGCATCAGATGCCCTCTTTTTCGCCGTGGGCAATCTTAACTCTACACCGGCCAGAATCTAGTATTTACGACGTAACTTCTCTAGATCCTCTGTCGTTACCATGGATTTTTCCGCCTTGGTATGCCAGTGGCCAGGTGCCACTTGGCTAATCGACTAGGCTGCCGAGATCATCATCGACGGAAGGGGTAGCACTGGCCGCTCCACGCCCTTTTCACCATACCTCTCCGCTCTGTACTGTTCCGCCAGAGCCACTCTGTCATCCTCTCCTAACGCATCCGATGCCATGGCAAGCACTTTGTCTTAAGCCATCTCCTTCACGTTTCTATATATCGCTTCGGTTGCGGGGGCTAAGAAAGTTGCAATATGAAAGAGAGGTGAATCCACAGCAATGTAAGAGCTAAAATCTGGAATGTGCTGATTTTTCGCAATCAGGTAAGAAAAGTGCACGAGTCCGAATGCCCAGGGTTTGCTTGTGTTCCAAGGGTTGTGGTTAAATTTCGCTAGTTTGAAAATTCAATTCAAAATCCCTGCCTTCTTTCTTTATCAACCCCGTCCCTCCTGCAGCCGCTTGGATATCTGTCACTAGTGACTTCGATTGCTCTACGTGTACAACCACGATCCCTTCCTTCCCCACTAATTCTCTTTCATCTCTCTCGTCTATTCCACTTCACATCACCATGTGCTTGCCTACCCCTCAAGCCCCATACACTATCAATGCGTATACGGTAGCCTTCACAGTCGGCCAGCCCGACCATCAACCTTTCACGATTGGCCAACCCGACTGACATCTTCCACACTCGGCCGCCTTCACAGTCGGCCAACTCCAACTATTAACCTTTCACGCTTAACTGCCTTCACGATCGGCCAGCCCGACTAATACCTTTTACGCTCGCGCCTCCACGATCGGCTAGCCCGACCACCATCTTTCACACTCAACCCCTTTCGGGGTCGGCCATGCTAGAGTTCGGTCGGCCTTTTCTCACAACTCCACTACCCCCTCACCCCACCCCTACCCCCTCTCTGGTACTTCGCGAATCCCGACACCTTTCTTATTCCCTTCATTGGACTAAAGCTGCACTTGGAAATGGAGGACTACTGATACTGATGGGCATCCAAAAGAGCCCAACCCACGATCTGGGTAATACTGGACTAGGACTAACAACATAATGGGCACCCAAGAGGGTCCGGCCCACGACTCAAGACCCAGCCCACAGATTAGATATAAAAGCCCAGTAACCTTGAGAAACCAATGATGGACCAGGACTAATAGCATTCACACACTTGTCAGGCAGGAAATCATCCATGTAGGCAGACAAAGATCTTACAAAATTATTGCACCCGCACATCAATCATTAATGAGACTCTGGTAGCATTAAATGCGACAACCCCTTCACGTTGGAGGAGACAGACTCACCATAAACTTTCGGCCAACAAGACAGTCTAGAATGAACAAAGAAAAGATAAGCAAAGGATATAAGGAAGCCTTCAAGATACGTTAAAGGTTAAGTTCTTCATCCGTCTCTTCTATCTATCTATAATCACTCTTCTCCTAACCTAACTTGATCGTCAGAGAGTCCGTCGGGGAATCCCTTCCCCCTTCGGACCTTTTTGCTGGTTATCTAAGAAACACCGAAGCCAGTAGACCTGTTGGAAACGTAGATCAATCTGATCCATCCTCCAGCTGGAATCGTTGCATCATCAAGTAATGATTGAGACCCCCACAAAAATTTCACCTCCACAACCCTTATATCATCCTATATGAGAGGGGGGAAAAAACAAAGGAAAAAGGTTGAGACACCATTTTTGGGAACTCCAACCACCCCCAATGCATTGTGATTGGCCAATTTTTTATTTTTTTATTTTTTTTCCTCCTATCTCTGGCTGACATGTGTCTGGGGGGTTGTGAGGGTAAAAAAAAAATATATGTAACATTTTTGAAAAACAAAAATACACAAGAACCAATCACACACATTTGAGGATCATGGAAGTCCTCAAATTGAGGCTCCCAAGCTTTTCCTAAAAAAATTTCACAAATGTGATACACATGTGAGATAAATAGTAAATACCACGTGTATAAAGTCTACCATATACGAGACCTACCATTTATTTTACATTTAAATTTCATTTTAAGAAATTTCTCTGTACACTTTAGATTTATGTTGAGCAAAATTTCTCACAACGTACATGCTTTGAGTTGAGCATGTGACTTTTAGAAGTAAAATATAATTATGCAATGAAGGCGGCGGCGGAGTGGTGAGCTGTTTTCCATGCAAATGCACAGTAATTAATTTTTACAATTTCTTTTGCTTTCAGACAGCAAAATAACTTCAATTTTATCTGTGAAAACCATTCCTCAACTGCAATTTTTTTTGTTGTCACTCTGTACATAATACTACTCTTCTGGAATATATATATATATATATATATATATATATGTAACAATACATATGTGATAGAATAGCAAAATACAGCTCACATCAATATTGACACATTGTCCTTGTTTAATTAAAGAGATCACTTATCTAATTACTAATTACTAATTGTGTTAAAAGTCCAGTCCACCCGCCTTCATTTTTAAAAGCATTGCTCATTATGAGTTTATGTTTTTGCATTTCAAATGTTAAAAAAATAAAAAAACATAATTAGGCGAGTCGAACTAAGTCAAACTTGCGAACAACTCCCACGTGTGGTTGATTTGCAGCCCATGTAATTCATTAACATTGTAACTTATGGAAGCCTTGTCCGTTTTCATTATATTTGTGGGCATTGCAATCATAATTGTGTTTATTTAATTATTTTATTTCAGTTACAACAAACATTACAATATTTAAAATTTTAGAAATAAAAAAACTTAGATACAAAATAACTTTTTAGATCTTAATTGTTAACAAAAGTGTTATTGTTGTATTTATAGATGAAAGTGATGGATTATTATCCAACAAAATTTTGTTTTAAAAAAAGATTTCACATGAAATTATTATTCCTAAAATTGCATTTATTATTAGCAATGTCTTCAAAAATTTCCCCTAAATTTCATTTTTTGACAAAAAATTTATCTCTTAATTTTTTTTGTGTCGAATTTTTATTTTATTTTTAGATATAGAAAGTTTAACTCCTAAAATCGTAAAAAATATACCTTAAAGCACCAGCATTAGACAATTGGTCCACCCATTAGTATCAAAAGTTAATTTTCTAACCAGCCAAGTGACCGATTTCCTTCACAATGGATATATCAGTGTACACACGAATGCAGGTAGTCTACACTCTAAAGCCACGTTTATTTAGCAAATTAGGTTAGATAAGATTATGAGTACGGTAAGATTGAATAAGGAGATAGTAATGTGACGGTATTAAATTGGAAATGTAGGATAAATTGTATTTGTTTGTGTAGTGGTGTGATGGTATTAATTGATTGGGATTAAACCTAAGAAATTCTATAAGTACCCTTCTTCCATTATTGTAGTCATGCAGACTAAAAGGTAAAATAATCTTTTATCCATTAATCCCATGAGATTGCATTTCAATTCCATGTATTTCCAACAAGCTCCCCCCCCCCCCCCATAGTGTAGGATTACTACTCCAAGAGAAATACTAATCCCCCACTCAGTTCCTAATTAAACATGGCATCAGTGTATCCCACCTCACTCATACTCCACTCTCCCTTTTCAATAATCCTTAAAACAAACATGACCTCAATGTGGCTAGCCACTTAACAAAGGAAGGAGACGGAGAGAGCGAGAGAGAGAGGAGAACTGAGTGTATAGTGGGGTGCGCCCACTGTACTTTTTGTATTATTTATTATTTTATCTATTATTTATGTATATTTATATATTCTTAATACATTCATGGCATCATCATTCGCACTTAAAATTAACAAATTCTTAATACATATTTTTTGATTTTATTTTTATTATTTTTTGTCATATAACACATTTTAATACATACTTTTAACTACTTCATTGCGGATGTTCTTAGGATTGTTTACATTGAAGATTGGACCAGTGAGGCATAGTTAGCTTCTCCTTCAAATCTCTTAAAAAGAAAAAACCAAAAAATTCTCATTTTCGAACTTTGGATTTGTTTACCAACTGTGCTATAAGGGTATTAATTAGGTGCTTTCCGTTATAACCAATCTGCACTCAAAGTCCAAAATAGTTCTTATTTTTCATTAAAAAAAAAACCAAATAAAATAAAGCAAAAGCAAAGATTAGTTGGCTCTGTTTCACTTCATGAACTTAGATATATGAGGCTAGGATTTGTTGTAATTAAAGAACTATTGTTGGACCTACTGACCAAACGACCTTAGTCACGTTTAAAAAGTGGTATCGTACCAAGACCTTTACTTCTTTTTATATTTATTATTTATTTATAACTTAGCTTCCAAAAGTATCTAAGTTGATAGATAACCACTTTGTGTAATACATAAGAAATCAAAAAATAAATAAATAAATAAAATAAAATAAATGCCTTTTTCTAGTTTTATCCATAATTGTAGATTAGATCCTTACCATCCACCTAACGAACTACAACGACATTGCAGCAGAGACCATCTATTTATAAGGTTTGTGTTGGGTTCATGATCACAAGAACAAGTACCAAACAAGTACAAAGAAAGAGATTTAATTTGAGAGAGAGAGAGAGAGAGAGAGAGAGATGATGGCATGGATTAAGGTTTTGGTCATGGTGGCTTGTCTATTTCCGGCATTGGTGGAGTGCAGGGTTCGTCATTATAAGTTCAATGTAAGTGTTTTTTTTTTTTAAAAAAAAAAAATTATAAGTGCTTTTCATTGTGTTTTGTTTTCTTCATTTTTTGGTTTTTGTTTTTATTTTTGGTTTTTAACGTAAGTACGTAAGTTTTTGTTAACGACCATTATATGGTAAGAAGAGTCACTTACCCTTTGTTTGGGATGTGGGTTAACTTTTTAATTTTTTAGCTATTTTAACATGAGGTTAAAAAGTCTCGTTTAGGATAGATTTTTTTACTTTTATGACTTTTGTCAGAAAAAAATAAAATTATTATGATTTGGAACATTTTGTCTTATTAACTTTTTAACCTATTTTGTCTTTTTATGACTAAAATAATCAAAAAAAACTTACGCTAGACATAACCTTACACTTGTCTGTTTCTTGACCTAAGCCCATTTCCACTCAGTTTTGTTCCAAAAATACTAGAGATTCAAAAAACAAATTACAAAAAAAATTACTCATATAGGCATGTGAGTCCCATATAATGTGAATCTCTCACCCATATAAATATTGTGTAAAATTTTTGATAATTTTTTTTGGAGTCCTTTGCATTGCCTTTTTTTTTTTTTTTTTTTTTGTTTATCAAAAATCTTGCATTCTACTTTGGTCTCTCACTTTTCTATTATAATAGTCAACCTCTTAAATTTTTTGTAAAGTTACATAACATTTTTGTTAGTTTTACTTTTAAAACTCATCAATGAAAATTGTCATTTGATCCTCACATAAAACCCTTTTGTAGTAAAAATGTTTTTTATTTTTTCATCTCTATTTCTCCACTGTATTTAACCATCTTCCCAAAAAGCTAGCTTTTATTTTCATAACCCACCACCACCACGCCTTTCTCACAAGGTGTCTATCGAGGTAGGGTACAGAGGAAGGAGGTGGAAGGGAGAAAAGAAGGTAGACACAAGAGGAGGGCCCAAAAATTATTTTTATTAATCAATTTAACACTAAACTAATAGAAGAATCATGTTACAAATGTGAAAAATTGACTGTTACAATTTAAAAAATGAGACCAAAATAGGATTTGATACGAAATGTAAAAATACAAAGTATAATTTACTTTCTTTTTCCCAAACTGGAGAAACACCTTCAAAACATGGCATCTTTGGACCGGACGTCCATCTACAGTATACTTCTTCTTTTTTCTCTTTTTCATATTATCAAATTATATGTAATATATTATTTATTTTTATTAAATACTTGATAATTATCTTAAAGTAAAAGAATCAATTATGAATATCTATATAAGCCGTAATAAAATGATGATAAAAAAAAATTAAAAAAAAAAACCAATAACATATGACATTTCTCCGTTTAGTTCATAATCTATTTTGCAACTGCAATTTGTTTATAGCTTTTGTTATTTATCTAATGAGAACAAAATCAAGCATTATACAGTGGAGTTCGCATTTGTTTAAATTAAAAATCTCAACATCGCAGTAAAATTGACTTAATATTGGATTAACTTAGATTTACTTCGGTGATGTAAATCGTTCATTTTATATAATCAATTAAAAAAATTATTTATTAAAACTGTCAATAAGAAATAAATAAAACAAAATATTTATAATTTTAATATATTTTTTAACACTTTTACAAACTTAAATATATTTTTCACAAATATCAATACATATTTAATACACATATCAAGATTAATAACAACTCTAATGACTGTCTTTAACATTTTCCTTATAAAATTTGTTCACTCTCTGTCAATTCAATTCAATTACGTGAGTTCTGAACTTTATTTTCTCATTGGCTTTCAAGTGGTATCTAATTAATCAGGCACAGTTTATCTTTACCTACACGAAAGCATACAATTGACTGACTTGACTGCGTCAGTAGTTTTTTTTTTTTTTTTTATTAGGAAGATAGTTAAAAATTATTTTTTGACTTTTAATCAAGTTTTTTGATTTTTTTTTCAGAAAGTCATTTGGGAAGTTGATAAAAAGATATTTTTTGATTTTTTTTACTTAATATTTGTTTATATTGTCACATCATAATCAAATGACCAAAATATCCTCACACAATTTAGAAAATAACCACTTTTACCTATGCGGCTCATTTAAATAACAGCAATACTAGGTATCATAAAAAATATTTTATGAAAATAATCATGAAAGTTTTGTAACCCTTGGATTAAGCACCACACACTAATTAAGGTAATCTAAGAATAATAAATTTTTCATGATCATTTTCATGAAAAAAAATTCATGATCCCTAATTTTTCCCTTTAAATAATATGGAAGGTATAACTATAATTTTCCATATAATTTTTAACTACTTTTCCAAATAATTTGATGACAAAAAAGTCATTTTAACTTTTTTGGGCCAAGCTACGTGACGCAACTTTTTTCTTTTTCACAAATGACACCTTTATTTGCTTTAAAATGTCATTTGCATTTGCATTTACATTAACATTAGCTTTTTGTTATTTTTATTATTGAATTATTTATAATTTAAATATACAATTATAAACGCAGTGCTATTACAACCACGAAAATATATAACCACATTTGTTTAATTTTCCTTATATTTAAAAGAATAAAGACACCTTTTAAGACTTTAAAATGAATTAGATATTTAAACTTAATTTATCTTTAATAATTAAAAATCCATTTAAGATTGGCATGAACACATTTTAAAGATCATAAATTTGAATAATTTATCACTCGACCTGATAAACTTTATATGTATTATAAAAAAACTAAATTATCCAAACTCAACTCGTTATCAATTCGATTAAAGCTCATTTAAGATTAACTCAAAAAATAAATAAGTCAAACCTAAAATTATTTTGAAATTCATTAAGTTTTCAAGTCAAAAAATAACTCAATTAGTTTACATTTTTAAACCTGTTTGGAATAAGCTAAAAAATTTACGTTTTGCTTTCTGTTTTTTTATTTTTTTGGCTTATCAATTAAAAATGCTAAGAACCAACTCAACTTTCTTATTTACACCCCAAAAAAAAAAAAAAAACTTGTTAGCAACTTTTTTACATTCTAAAAATACTATTAAAAAAAAGTCAAAAACTACTATTGAAAAAAAGAATTTCAAAACCCCCCTTAGGAGTCTTTTTCCAGCAACAATAATGTACAATGTAACATATTGATGTGGGCAGATAATGTTAAAAGAGGCTTATAAACTAATTCTTAGTACAAATAATTATATATTGGTGCTACAATTCTATGGTCTGTTTGCAATCATTTGCCTTTTAAAATGTCTCGCATGTTCAAAATTTAGAGTTTGAGATAAAAATAAATTTTAAAAAACATAGCCAACATTCTTGAAGCAGGAAAGGATGAGATTTTTTTTATTTTTTATTTTTTATTTTTTATTTGAAACCAAAAGGCACAATAAACTTATTTCCTTGAGATAAAGCTTATTCAAATATATTTACTTAACCCAAGTTTTTCATTGAATTCATGTGCTAAAGGCACGACTTTAATGTACAACTTCAAATAATTTATTATAAATGTTTTTTTTTTTTTAATGTATCTTTAAAATAATATTTCACAAAATAATTTGAGTTTTGAAAAATAATTTTAAAATTATTTGAGTTTGGAAAATATATTTAAGAGCAATGTTGTGCTCTTCAAAAGTTTATCTAAATTTGACTAACATAGATGGCTATGGGACGTAGGGGTGTTGTTGTGCCTTCAAAGTACAATAGCTTGTTGTGTTCTCTTGTTGAGGTTTATCCCGAATCTCTTTCAATAATCTAAACTATATATTTTGTAAAATTTGTTGAGAATATTATTCATGCAAAAAAGCAAATTAATCAGATATTTGTAACCCTATGCTTTATTTTTAAAAAATTATTTAAATTATGTTAACCGCTAATTTAAGAAGAAGACAGGAAAAAAAAAACAAAAACAAAAAAATTATTTAAATTATGTTAACCGCTAATTTAAGAAGAAGACAGGAAAAACAAAACAAAAACAAAAACAAAACAAAACAAATGTGCTCTTAGTATAAGGCTGTAGATATCTAATTAACTTAATTTTTTATATGAATGATCAACTTAATAAATTTTAAAATATGAACGATTCAAATTATTAAAAAAATACGAGACCAGCCTCCACAAAATGGCATAGCAAGATTCTCAAATCTTATGAGTATTACGATCATTATGTGGGCCCCACCAAATCATGGTCAATTATAAGCAACGAAATCAGTGCCGTTTTGGGAATTGCGTTTTTGTTCCTTGAGGAAAAAGCTGGCTCAGCTTTTTGGGCAATTGTTGCATTTGGCAAGTGATAAAAAAGCTAGGCTGGCTAATTACGTAAATACCCTCTAGGTCAACAAATTGTGTAGAATTCCAAAGTTTGGCAAGGGTATTTTGGTCATTTTAATTTGATTTGACACCATAAATAAATATTAAACTAAAAAGTAAAAAGCCAGTTTTCTACCAACTTTCTAAATCACTTTTCAAAAATTAAAAAACTTGGTAAAAAGTCAAAAATTAACTTTTTATCAACTTCTCAAAACATCATAAGTCTACACTTCGGACGCTACATCATTTTTCATAATTGTTGTGCCTTCAAAGTACAATAGCTTGTTGTGTTCTCTTGTTGAGGTTTATCCCGAATCTCTTTCAATAATCTAAACTATATATTTTGTAAAATTTGTTGAGAATATTATTCATGCAAAAAAGCAAATTAATCAGATATTTGTAACCCTATGCTTTATTTTTAAAAAATTATTTAAATTATGTTAACCGCTAATTTAAGAAGAAGACAGGAAAAAAAAAACAAAAACAAAAACAAAACAAAACAAATGTGCTCTTAGTATAAGGCTGTGAATATCTAATTAACTTAATTTTTTATATGAATGATCAACTTAATAAATTTTAAAATATGAACGATTCAAATTATTAAAAAAATACCAGACCAGCCTCCACAAAATGGCATAGCAAGATTCTCAAATCTTATGAGTATTAGGATCATTATGTGGGCCCCACCAAATCATGGTCAATTATAAGCAACGGAATCAGTGCCGTTTTGGCTTCAGGAAAAAGCTGGCTCAGCTTTTTGGGCAATTGTTGCATTTGGAAGTGATAAAAAAGCTAGGCTGGCTAGTTACGTAAATACCCTCTAGGTCAATAAATTGTGTAGAATTCTAAAGTTTGGCAAGAGTATTTTGATTATTTTAATTTGATTTGACATCATAAATAAATATTAAACTAAAAGGTAAAAAGTCAGTTTTCTACCAACTTTCTAAATCACTTTTCAAAAAATTAAAAAACTTGTAAAAAGTCAAAAATTAACTTTTTACCAACTTCTCAAAACATCCTAAGTCTACACTTCGGACGCTACATCATTTTTCATAATTTGAAATCGCCTGAGTTTAGTTTTCGTGGATAAAAGATATATCTTACTTGACACTAAAGGTACCCCAAGAGATTATTATCAAATATCTCATAGTATTATTATAATAACAAACCAAAATTAGAAAAATAAAAAATAAAAAATGTTATGATGAGTTTGCTAGTTTATGATGGTGGCTAATGTACGCAGGTGGTGATGAGGAATACGACGAGGTTATGTTCAACCAAACCCATTGTGACCGTTAATGGGCGTTTCCCTGGTCCGACAGTGTACGCAAGGGAGGACGACACAGTCCTTGTTAAGGTCGTCAACCACGTTAAGCACAACATTAGCATTCACTGGTGAGTACAATATTATAAAAATAAGTAGGGTTCCGTCTGTCTTTAATCGGGATCGAACGTTAGACCGTGTTATTTGTCTCATGATTTATAATAGGACTTATTTTAATGACTTGGTCCATTTCAGATTAAACCGTGTTGTTTATCTTGTGATTTATAATGGGACTTATTTTAAGAGTATTGTTATTTAAGTTCAAAAATTAAACTCATTTTTTAAACTTAGTGATGTGTGAAGAATATGATTTATTGATAATTAAATATTCTCTAATTATCAATCAATCATTTTTTTGACATATCACTCGGTCTAAAAAATGAACTTGTATATCATTTTCCTTATTTTAATGACTTGGTCCCTTTCAGATTAATTGATAATTTCATTACATTTGTCTTTACAAAAAAATCCACCTATTTTTGGTATCATACTTACCATTCATTTTTTAAAAAATAAATGTGATAAATTTGAATAGCTACAATTATTAGATCGGATTGATTTTTAAAATAGATAATCTATATATATAGAGACTTAAAAAATGAAAAGACTAAATCATTGAAGTCAGTCCCATTATGGGCCTATATGACCCCAACGACATGATCCAATCTTCTCTTCCAACTGTAGAAAAGTTGAACTCTATTTTTCATTGACACATGATATATTGAAGACCTGCACTAGAGCAATGTTAAAAATTCTTAAAACAGCACTTTAAATTTACCTGCATTAACAGGATAAAAATTGGATCTTAATTGGTTGATTTCTAAATAGATTAGCTACTGGTCGTCAACATCAATAGAAGTAAACTTCTAATTTGAGAGTAATATTTTAAGAATTTTAAGCCTTTTTACTTTATGTTATAAAAGAGTACGTAGTGTTATACAAATATAATAGAATTATTAAATATTAAGTTTTAATACATAATAGTATAATCTAGGGGGTTATTTTGTTATGTCCTTGAATGATTTATTTATTTTATATGATGACTAGGCATGGAATAAGACAATTGAGGACTGGTTGGGCCGATGGGCCGGCATACATAACACAGTGCCCAATCCAGCCAGGGCAAAGCTTTGTGTACAACTTCACCATCACTGGGCAGAGGGGGACTCTCCTATGGCATGCACACATACTCTGGCTCAGAGCAACAGTCTATGGTGCCATTGTCATCTTGCCCAAGCTTGGTGTCCCTTACCCTTTCCCAACCCCAAATAGGGAAGTGGTTGTTGTCTTGGGTAATAATTGCCAAACTCTACTCTCTTCTTCATATAATAATTCATGTTTAGATCATTTAGCACACCACAAACAATTTTTAAGATGAATGACTTGTATCCTACAGATTGGATAAAAAAAACAATTGTTGAACAAATTTGACTTACCTTGGTCAGCTAGGTGGGGATTATGTCAATCCCATCTATCTATCTCCATGACTTTATCGATCCGTAACACCACATGAATATTTTATAATAATATCAAATTATTGAATATTTTTTATCATAATTATATTTAAAGCTTGTATCATTTCTATGAGTACCTCATAAAGAGAAAATATTTGATGGTTCACTATTATTCAAATCATTAATAGTCCCAACCAATCATGATTGAGAATTTAGTCGGAACAGAGTTAAATGTCATATCTTTCTCCCTTTTTGAGAAGGTGGGACCTGACCAAGTAGGGTCCTAGGCCCCATTTTTACTGAGTTGACTAACTATAATTGTTGGAGACTATTAATGACGGGATGTCTTAGACCACCGAAAGCAGACTTCCTAAAAAATTGGATAGTTGTTCTCTTCTTAGTAGATGGAGAAGTTAATGTATATTCATAAATTGTGCCTTAAAAGTCTCTTCTTCTTTTTTTTTATGAATGTTTTAATAATGGATTAAATTATACGTAGGTGAATGGTGGAAATCAGATGTTGAAGCTGTGATCAACGAAGCCACAAAATCAGGCCTAGCCCCCAATGTTTCAGATGCTCACACCATCAATGGCCATCCAGGACCCATCTCAAACTGCTTATCACAGGGTAAAAACTAATAACTTCAATTATTATGATTAAGAATTCTCTATTCTTATTTTGTCTATTGTACTAATGCACTCTCAATTATTGAATCATATTTCAAAATGCATGTGTCTCAAAATTTTCACATGATTTAATGATTGAAAGTAAATTGGGATAAGACAGCAGAAAAAATTGAAAACAAACTAGAGCTTTAGGAATGGAAATAGAATCACAAAAATGTAGTTTGCTGTTGAAAATTGAGGCATACATCAACAATGAATGCGTGATTGACATAAATCTAAAACAATTCTTATCTGTCCTAGATATTTGCTTTTTTTCTTCTACATTAAAATTTCATTTTTTTTTTATGATGCTTAGGAGGGTTCAATTTACCAGTAGAACCAGGCAAGACATACTTGTTGAGAATCATCAATGCTGCACTCAATGAAGAGCTATTTTTCAAGATTGCTGGCCATCAACTCACAGTTGTAGAGGTTGATGCCACTTATGTCAAACCATTCAAAAGTGATACCATTCTCATAGCCCCTGGCCAGACCACAAATGCCCTTTTAACCGCTGACCTTGGAACCGGTAGGTACATGGTTGCAGCCTCACCTTTCGTGGACTCACCCGTCCCAGTTGATAACATGACTGCAACCGCCACATTAGATTACTCTGGTACCCTCTCCACCACCACCACCAGACTCACCACCCCGCCTCCTAAAAACGCCACCCCAGTTGCAACTACCTTTACAAACTCCCTTCGAAGCCTAAACTCAAATCAATTTCCAGCCAAAGTCCCATTAACCGTTGACCATAATTTACTTTTCACCATTGGCCTCGGTGTCAATCCTTGTTCTACTTGTGTTAATGGTAGTCGATTGGTGGGGGATATCAACAATGTCACTTTTGTAATGCCAAAAATCTCTCTCCTTCAAGCACATTTCTTCAAAATAAGCAATGTTTTCACTGATGATTTCCCTGGAAATCCTATCATAGCGTATAATTATACAGGCACACAACCAACAAACTTGAGGACCATGAAAGGGACGAGGCTATATAGACTTGCTTACAACTCTACTGTACAACTAGTGTTGCAAGACACTGGAATGATAGCCCCTGAAAACCATCCAATTCATCTACATGGTTTCAATTTCTTTGTTGTTGGAAGGGGACTAGGAAACTTCAATCCAAAGACAGATCCAATGAATTTTAATCTTGTTGACCCCGTCGAAAGGAACACGGTTGGAGTTCCGTCTGGAGGATGGACTGCTATTCGATTCAAGGCAGATAATCCAGGTAAACCTTCAAGTATTTCAACCCCTCAACAAATTTAGTAAGTACATGGACAAATTTTTTCACAAAATGTCACATAATGCAGTGCTAGCAAAATGACATTTATTCTGATGAAGCACTGCATTTTATATGAATTTTTTATATACAATCCTAACTACCCTCCTAGCATCTGTCTTGGAACCCAACACTGGGTAATGTCCCTTTTCATCTTTTCATTTCTTTTACATTTTTTTTATTTCTATAGAGTCAAAATCCAATAGTGGTATGATACTTTCTTTTGTGGTTGTAGGCGTTTGGTTCATGCATTGTCATTTGGAAGTGCACACAACATGGGGGCTTAAAATGGCATTTGTCGTGGACAATGGCGAAGGCCCCAATGAGACTCTCTTACCACCTCCTCGTGATCTTCCCAAGTGTTGACAATGAATTCCATAGACAATCCCACATTTTACAAAGGTTTTTTGCCGCAGAGGAGTGGAAAAGAAAAGGGATCAGAGCAGAGCAATGCAGTGAGACCTAATAAATTCGTTTGGGCAGTCAAAATGGGCTGCTCGGGATTGAATAAAACCAGCCCAATCTTATGTATTTTGGATTTTCTTTTCTTTTTATTATTATTTTTTTTAATTTCATGGGCCGTTTGTAGAGTGTATTTAAATAAACCTGTATTGGTAATTAAAATTCCAAACGGTCTTCCCAAGTTACTTAGTTAGACAATTTATCATTGGATGAGCCTTGTGATTAAGTTGATGTGATATTTGAATTTTTTTTAAGTTGGTCAATCAATTTAAAAGAAAAATTAAATTTAATAGATTTTATTATGAGTCACTCTTGATATTATCAGCCGGTCATTTTTTTAGTATCGTTTGAATAGAATACTAATATAAAAAGGCAAAATATTGAATATCAATAATTATATATTTAAATTATATTTATCTTTAACAAAATAACAAATATAATTTTTAAAATAACTATTTCAACTAAGTTCAACCTTATAAACTAAATAATTTTTTTCTTTTAAATTTTAAAAATATCGAGTTAAGTTGACTGGTCATCCAACCTATGGCGAAACACACAACACAACGAAGTTATTCCAAGTAGCATGGGTGCACATGAGTTGATGCACACGCTTACCGGAGTGGATGGATTAGTGGACTCAACGCTGACCTCTCAAAATCACGTGGTTGAGATTTTTTTGACTTTAATGACATAACAACCAAACATAAAGGAATCTTTCCTTTAATGGAAACAAATTTTGGCGTTGCTGAATTTACAACCCAAAAAAAAAAAAAAAAAAGTTATAAACAGTCCTTTAAATTATTAATAATTTTTTTTACTTTATTTTTTTAATTTTGAACCATAAAATATGTAATTCTTTTGCATGAGTCCAATTTTCAATTATCATTAATTTTTTTTTTTTAATGAAAATTATCATGTGATTGACATTTTGTTTGTCACGTGATGCCGTATGTCATTTTATTTGATCAAAACTCAAATGACAACCCGTGAAAACATGATAAAGATGAACTTTTCCACATTAACCTTTTAAATATTGGGGTGTTTTGGAAACTTTTTTAAATAGTTAATTTTTGGGCAAATTACATATACACCCCTCCAGGTTTGACAAAATTACAGATACCCCCTGAGGTTTGAGAAATTATGAATTCCCCACTGAATGCTATATTTGCATAAGAAATTATGGGGTAATTTGTTATGAAATATAAACCTCAGGGGGTAATTTGTTATGAAATATAAACCTCAGGGGGTAAATTGTTATGAAAATACAAACCTCAAGGGGCGGGATGTAATTTCCGAAACCTCAGGGGGTATCTGTAATTTAACCAAACCTGGAGGGGTGTATATGTAATTTGCCCTTAATTTTTTTTTTACCTTTTAATTTTTTTACACAAAAAAATCCGAAAAAAACTAATAAGTTACAAAAAAATTACAAAAAATTTAACTTTTTACCAATTTCTCAAAACACCACATTATATTTTCTCAATTTGGCTTATCAAGTATTGAAAATTTCATATTTAGCCCAAGAAATGGAAGAAAAGTTCTTGCCATTTTTTGTCTCTTTTTCCCTATATATACATTCTAGATAGAGTAAGAATAATAGGAAGACAAAGAAAAATGAAGAAGAAAAGAAAGAACAGGAGATGAGGAATATGATTAAAACTTTTTTGTTGTTGTGGGAATTTAACTTCAATGAAGACAAGTTGAATGTATTTTTACCTTGGAATGAGATTCCTAAATTGTGGAAAATATGAGTTTGAATTCATCCAAGATGTCTTTGTGAAAGCTATAATTTGATGTGTCTTTAGCCCTCATCGTTCCCTTTTTTTTCATCCTTTCATTTTCTTTTTCCTTTTCTCTTCCTATAATATGATTTGCATTGCTATATGCTTAATTTTATTTATCAAATATGGGTGATGGGTCACGCATCGTAGAAGAGAAAACAAAAACAAAGGTAACATTTGGTTGGGTTTTAAAATTATGATTTCAATTAAAAAATTTCAAAATTTATAATCAAACAAATTATCTTAAAACTCAGCACTCAATTTAAAAATTATTTTCAAAACTAATAACCAAACGCACAGTTCAAAATTCAATTCAAAATTCAAAATTAAACTCTTTTCAAAGCTCTATTTAAAAAAAAATTGAAAAACAATTTTTTATTTTGTTTTTTAAATTATTCTTAGAATTATAATTTAAGCGTAGAGCCGTGTTTTGAGTTATAGGTTTTGAGTTGAGTTTTGAAAAGAGAAAATTTGTTTAATTATGAGTTTTGAAAAGAATTTTGAATTATTTTTTGAGTTTTGAGTTGTATTTTGAAATTTTTTGGATTTATTTTTTTAAAATATTTTTAAAAATTCTTAATTTTATTTTTTAGGGTAAATATTTTATATTTTAAATATTTATTTATTTATTTTAATGTACACTATATTTCATACATTTGTGTGGTGTATTTTTTTAATATTTTAAATATTAAAAAAAAATATTTTTTATTTTTTATTTTAAATTTATAATTTTTATTTTCAATATTTTTTTATTTCAAATATTTTATTTTATTTTATAAATATATTTTTAAATATTTTAATTTTTTTGTTATGTGTTTGGTTACAATTTGAGTGTGGTGTTTTGAAAGTAGTATGAAATTTTGAGTTATATGTTTAGTTATGAGTTTTGAAAATAGTTTTTTAATTGAGTTTTGAATTGTGCGTTTGGTTACGATTTGAGTGTAAAGTTGTGTTTTGAGTTCAAAATAGGGATATTTACCAATAAATCTTATCTCACAAACAGTTTTACCGATTGGTCCTAAAGTTATTTATATTGTTCTTATTAGTCCTATTAGTGGGGAAATATCTTACCAGTTGATCCTATTTCCTTTGTTTGGTAACATTGAGTGGTCAATTATATCCTTTCGTGTGTGTGTCACGTGACATACATTATTCCAAGACAAAAAGCATAAATAGCCTTAGTGTACTTTGTTGATGTGTGGCACCCATTGTGTGTGTCACGCGACATACATCATTCCAAGGCAAAAAGCATAAAGAGCCTTAGTGTACTTTGTTGATGTGTGACACCCATTGTGTGTGTCACGTGACACTCCAAGGCAAAAAGCATAAAAAGCCTTAGTGTACTTTGTTGATGTGTGACACCCATTGTATGTGTCACGTGACATATTGTGTGTATCACGTGACACCCTCATAAAGAGCCTTAGTGTACTGTGCGGGAAGCAAATGTTCAGGCAAGCCCGCACTCCTTTCTTCCAAGCTCCTGCCTGTCCGATCGACCTGCGAGCACAACGGCGGTGAGCTACCCAGCAGTGTGTGGCCGGAAAACCCCTCCGACGATCAAGTTAGACACACACACAGGGATAGAGGGAGAGAGAGGACTGAGTTGTGTTTAGTGTTTTTCTCACCAAATTGTGTCATCTATCCAGGCATAAGGGGTGCCGACTCGCTTATATACCTTCTGCGCCCCAAATCTACTCTCATTAGTCTCTCGACACGTGGTGATGCTATCTCATCTGTCAGCACAAATCCAGCAATCACCACCTAACAAAACTGTTAGGATACCTCGACGGAGCTCGGCAGATCGGTGGAACCTCATCGGTTTCTCCTGACCGCCCTACGCGGCATACCTTAATAAACCACTCGCCAAGCTCCTGTACAACCGAACTCGGCTGCATTCCGGCAAGCCGAGCTCGAGGTAAGTTGAGCCGATTAGCCGTCGGTCTTCTTGCCGAGCTAACGCATGAACCGTGGAACCCATGGAGACAGGCAGACATCTCGGCCGAACTCCCAGTAGACCGGCTTCGGCACCAACAAGCTAAATAGCTCGGTCCCACATGCCCTATGCCTTAACCAAGCAAAAACCCTTCAGGACAGGCCCAAGCTACCACGGCCCAATTGTGTTCGGCCCACAATTTGCCCCGCCATTACCACGACCCATTTCAACTCATAAATCTCCCTCTCAATTGCCCCTTAATTCCGTCTGCGCAAGCGTGACTGGGATTACATGATCTGACCGGGGTAGACTCTTCCTCGGTCCTTAGTTTGCAAGACATCAACCGCGCTATTCCTCTTGCTCGGTTTCTTGGCTTGTTTGGCTGAAGCCTCAACTTGCCTTCCTGGCGGCCAAAATCAGCTCGGCAAGGAACTACAAAGAAAGCGAGCAAGGTCCGCTCCGCGACTTCCTTCTTAGCGAGCAAAATCAGCTCGGCAAGGAAATCTAAGGTCGGCGAGCAAGGTCCACTCCGTGACTTCCTTCTTGGCGAGCAACATCAGCTCAGCAAGGAACTACAAAGAAGGCGAGCAAGGTCCGCTCTGCGACTTCCTTCTCGGCGAGCAAGATCAGCTCGGCAAGGAACTACAAAGAAGGCGAGCAAGGTCCGCTCCGCGACTACCTTCTTGGCGAGCAAGATCAGCTCGGCAAGGAACTCCAAGGAAGGCGAGCAAGGTCCGCTCCGCGACTTCCTTCTTAGAGAGCAAGATCAGCTCGACAAGGAACTCCAAGGAAGGCGAGCAAGGTCTGCTCCACAACTTCCTTCTTGGCGAGCAAGATCAGCTCGGCAAGGAACTCCAAAAAAGGCAAGCAAGGTCCGCTCTGCGACTTCCTTCTTGGCGAGCAAGATCAGCTCGGCAAGGAAGGCGAGCAAGGTCCGCTCCGCGACTTCCTTCTTGGCAAGCAAGATCAGCTCAGCAAGGAACTCCAAAGAAGGCGAGCAAGGTCCGCTCCGCGATTTCCTTCTTTGCAAGCAAGATCAGCTCGGCAAGGAACTCCAAGGAAGGCGAGCAAGGTCCACTCCGCGACTTCTTTATTGGCGAGCAAGATCAACTCGGCAAGGAACTCCAAAGAAAGCGAGCAAGGTCCGCTCCGTGACTTCCTTCTTGGCGAGCAAGATCAGCTCAGCAAGGAACTCCAAGGAAGGCGAGCAAGGTCCGCTCCGCGACATCCTTCTTGGCGAGCAAGATTAGCTCGGCAAGGAACTCCAAAGAAGGTGAGCAAGGTCCGCTCCGCGACTTCCTTCTTGGCGCACAAGATTAGCTCGGCAAAGAACTCCAAGGAAGGCGAGCAAGGTCCGCTCCGCGACTTCCTTCTTGGCGCACAAGATCAGCTCGGCAAGGAACTCCAAAGAAGGCGAGCAAGGTCAGCTCCGCGACTTCTTTCTTGGCAAGCAAGATCAGCTCGACAAGGAACTCTTGT